GGGGGCCGCCGGCGGAGGGGGGTTCCCTGCGCCAGAGCTGGGCCCCCCTGCGGGCTGCTTCGCCTGGGGGACCCGCCCTCATCTCCTGGGGACCTGCCCCCCAGTGTGGCACCCAGTGCCAGGGCCTCCCCTCGCAGCATCCCTGCAGGAAAGGGATGCTTAAGGATCTCTTCCAGCCATTCTTCTCCACGGGGCTGAGGGGCTGCCCCTTCTTCCCTTCCTCCGCAGCAGGCATCCTAGATCCTCTCCCAGTACCTGGGGGACAGGCCCTCTGGAAAGGCAAAAGGGCGCGGGCACTGAATAGCACCCGTGCCTCTCCCCCCCCCCCCCCCCCCCCCTCTACATGAAATGAATTTTCCCCTCCACCCTCCTCAGGAGTACCCATGCAACCCCTAGGTACAGCGCTGTATCCATACACACCCCAGGGGGCTCAAGGGATGCCTTCTGCAGCCTGAAGTTTGCTCGCAGTTTGCAACCAGTTCCACAGCCTAGAGTTGAGCTCTAAAGGTGCATCCCATGGGCTTCCCAACCAGTAATGATTCAGGCTTTTTAAACTGCTACTCTGGGTTCCCCTTTCTCCCCACTTTAGTGGTGAGTCTCTGGAGTAGACTCTTGATCGCTCCCATTACCCCATTGTGAACTTCCCATTGTTTGTGTGTGCTCTGGCCTGTCAGGATAAGACAGCTGTTTGGAGTAGCAAAAGCTCCAGTTTGGAGTTAGATCCCACATACTGAATGACAAGCAGTCAAGTTCTTAGGTAAACTGATAGCTTCCTGCACTTGCTAGGAACTCATTACCATAGGCTGTACTTAATTCCTGAGTTCCTGTGTAGCCTTGGCTGGAGGATAGATTTTCCTTTGTCTTGCTACCTTGTCATCGTCCTGGGCTGCTTTGTTTCTCCTGTAATTGAGTTCTGATCATGTCTGTCCATAGGCTGGCTGGTCTGGGTATTTCTTTTTTGTTGTAGTATGTAAGTGTTTTTCAGTCATGGGGCTCACCTTTCTTTTAAATATCTCTACTCCCCGTCCTGGCCAAAATTCACGGGCTGAGGAAAGTGGATGCAGAGCTCTGTGGAGCTGATTTGGTGTGAGGAGTCTTTGCAGAGCGATGTGAAGCAAGTGCCTGTTGGTCAGAAGAGGAAGACATTATTACCAAGGCTGTATGCACTCGGTGGCAAGCATGACCTAAATTCTGTGGCAAGGCCCTGGAGTTCTACAGCACTCCAGTACAGCAGGCTAGAGATACAGCAGCAGCTGCAGAAAATTTAAGAAAGGAATTTTGTATTCAATATGAAAATGAACTGTAAAATCAGAACCGTAATCCGCTTGTTTAATATAGTATGTTTATTTTATACTCCCATTATTTTTTTTTATATTTAAAGTTTGCTGAAATTTGCATTGAGAACATTTAACTGTATTGTTTAAATGATTGGGGGTCGAAGCTGGAGGCTTTGGAAATGGAAAAGACATCTCTTTTGGCATGTGGAAAAGTGTGGGAAGCAGTTTAGGATAAGCACATTAGCTGAATGTTTACTAAAATCAGCAGTGAAATAGTTGTTAAAAATATAACTTTAAAACAATTGAAGCTTATCTGATGGAGCACAATTCTGCAGAATACACAGGACCCTGTTTTTATGTTAGGTTCCATTATATAGAAAAAAGAAAGACCAAATCTCGTATGTCCTGTATGTGTATAGAACAAAAAGGAAGACCAAGCATCTCAGGAGAATCCTATATATTTTTTATAACAACATAATAGCTACTTTCCCCAGCCTGTATGTCACAGCTACAAAGTCCTATTTTTTCTTTGGCTGGTGAAAAATTACCGTTGCTTCTGAACTGTAGCTCTCACTCTCTGGTCTGAATTAACTAGTGGATACTGCACCTTTCCTACTCAATGGAGCATTCGTTCGTTAAAAGTCCTTAAGTCTGCACTATCCATCTATCTAATGGTTCCTCCGTTTCCTGCCATCCTCTATTCTTTTTTATGGTTGTAAAATTGATTTTGTTTTTTTATGAAACATTATTTGGTTTTCCCGCATTACTCATTAACTAAAAGGTTCTGCTAACTATGTTTCTAGCATGGTTTAAATCCCATTATAGCCATCTTCCCTATAGCACTTCAGATAGAAAGATTGTTGAGCATGATTTTTAGGGCAAAAGTGTCTATAATTATCTCATTGGCTGCATATTACTTTCAAGATTTCCCCTCTAAAAATATATCACCAGTTTTGTTATGTCTGTTCCACCAAAAATGTCAAACCCCGTCGTAACTTGTATGTGTACAGAAATGATCTGGAAAGCTGATTTTCTGTGATCGACACAGATGTTGTTCACTATTTTAAAAGAACCTCAAACACCTTTCTGTGTTAGAAGAATGGCAGATTAGTAACTGGAGTTTCCTGAATTGTAGTTGCCAAGTGTAAGGAAGCAGGTGTTTTCTGCAATACTCTCTTAAAAATAGAATTCTAACCTTTAATTTCAGAATATTACATTTACCCTAGACACTTTTTTAGTATGTAGCGGCATATTAAAAAGGAAGCCTAATTTTCCTTCCTTCTCAGTACACAAGGTGTCAAACTGACAACACAAGAAACTTAAATGAAAGTACATTAGAATCTCAGAGTTATGAACTGACCAGTCGACCGCACATCTCTTTTGGAACTTGAAGCACAGACCGTCCTTGCTATAAATCTAAAATATGTTCCAAAAAACTTGGATTTATAGCGAAACAACTTAAAAGTGGGAAATTTTTTCCCCCACAGCTGAGTTCCATTTGCACACTTTTGTGTGTGTGCAACTTAAGAGCACAGAATGGGAAGGACTTACAATGCGTCATGTCCTACAAGCATCAATGACTTTAGTGCAGAATGGATGTATACCAGGGTGACTCATAGCGGGAACGCCCTGTACACAATCAGCAGCAGAGACCAACCAACCATCTCTTCTTCCAAAAAAGCAAATACACTATAGTACTGTTAAACATAAACTATTTAAAAAAAAAGCATCATTTTCTTTTGCATAGCCACATTTCAAAGCTGTTTTAAGTTATTGTTCAGTTGTTGAAAGAACTACCATAGCATTTTGTTCTGAGTTACAAACAACCTCCATTCTTGAGGTGTTCATAATTCTGAGGATTTCCTGTATCCCCTCTCTATCTCATTGATGTTTTAGAATGACCATCTCTAGGGACCTGCTCATGTTCCAGCTATAGCTGTGATTTTTGTTACTCAATAGCATCATAGTTACTATGTACCGGTAATAGG